GTTTGTAATTGTTATTCCTTCTTTATATACGTAATCCATTATTGAAATGGAACGGCAGTGAAATTTAGTCTGAAAACTTTGTACTGCACAAAAACAATGATGGGATGTGGTCTTTGAAGGGGGACCACCAGGGGAGAAACCTGTAGCCACACCAACAATGTAGTCAGTTAACATAATCCATGGCCGCTCACCAGGTGCTCAAGGGGTTCCAACCTGTGCATAGTTCCATAATGCAAGTCCAAATTCTAAATTCTCAAGCCTTATGCAAATTTGGTTCTGTGATGACAAAATAAACAGGGTAATCCCAGCATGGCTGTGATGTGCTCCCAGGTTTCTTTTAGACTTATATTGTAAAGCCAATAGCTACCAAATCCTGGAACTCTTCACTTTATAGGTGCTTGCCTAACAAGATCAAGGTATTCCAGATTGTTGTTAATTATTCAACCAGACCAATAGGTCGCCTCCAGGCTTCACCTTCACTAGCCGCAGGTGCGGGGCACCATAATAAGATGTACCAACTAGTGTGGACATGCACAAACCGGCTCTTCCAAAATCAGTTTTGGCAGCTAGAGAGGTAATGTATTAATAGACTGTATCAGTGTGTGGTGCATCTGTAGGATAAATTATTCATCAGGAATGTAAAAGCAGCATGTTTAACCACTTGAATAGTAGCCATGTATCTATACCCAGCACAGTTTTCAGTGCTGTAATAGTTTGACTGACAATGGTTTGGTCATGCAACAGTGTACCTAAATTATTGATATCGTTTTTTTAGACAGAGGTTTTATTTAATAGTATTTAGTTACCACTGGGTCTTTTTTTTTTTTTTTAAACTACCGGTATATACAGGACAAAAGACGAAACATTTTGAAAAATAAAACTTTACTTCCTGTTATTAAACTAAGAATGTCAGGGCAGTATGAACACCCCCTAGATTACCCCTTTTTTTGGAAAGTAGACTTCCCCAGGGTGATCTAATTTTGCCACAATTTTTTGGGAAATGAAGAAACAATCCCTTAATCAAATACCGTACCCTGAATCCTCCTCTGTTGTGAAAGGGGCGGGCACTCCAAAGTACAAAGCAGTACTTTTTACGTTTCTTATCACTATGACTAGTCATCACAACGATCAAAAGGTAGAAATACGCAGAGATCAGCTCTGTACAGTGTGTCTATGATCTCAGCCATCTGATGACAACTGAGATCGCAGTGGTTAACAGGCATACTGGCCACCCGTAGGCTGTTTCTGGATTGACGTTAATACGGCAAAGCCAATCCAAGACACAGCCACACACTGCCAATATCCACCCAGCCCTTCTATATTTGAAAAATCCAGTCAACTCCAAGTTTGGGATCCCTGCCTGATGGTTGCTCACCTCTAATGCATTTCACCGAATCAGGCTTAGTCGTACACTACTCAATTACTAGGCCTGATTGGGTGAAACGGGTTAGAGGTGAGCAACCATCAGGCAGGGATCCCAAACTTGGAGTTGACTGGATTTTACAGTGCCCAGCTTTTTTTTTATTGACTTTGCTGTGGCGTATGGACAGCTCTCTTGCCGCACCTGCGGTGAACCCAAGCTGTGGAACTGTGATGTTGAGGTCCGTCTTTGTGTTTGTTAATAAACACCACTATAGAAATAGAAATCCACCATTTTATTTATAATACGTCAGAGGTGGTTGGGAGGGAGGTGGTTAGAGTGTGAACCTATTTGCTACCTTTTGGTCTGTTAAATATACCATTAAAAGCATTTGGTATATATTTATGTGTAAAAAATACTTAAGATATTCAGAGAGCTTGTAATTTCCTGCACGTTGTGCCTTTGCTACACTCTTATCAGTCAGCATTGCTAATTCTGTGCTCTGCCCAGTTTTCTCTGTGGACTACAAAACACCTACCCCTAAGGTATAGAGATGGGGCAAGTTAACTTATACAATAGACCAAATAGGAAGAGAGCAGCCTAGGGTGACAACACTGCCCGGCCATACATACAGACAGTACAGTGAGCAAGCGTTGTCACCTTAGGACAGGTTCAGTATTACTGGTTGGATAACTAGGTAAAAATAAAGGGGGGAAAAAATGAAAAAAAGGAAACTAATGCAGCCACCACATCTTAGTTCTGATAAGGTGCAATTTATTACATTTTTCTTCTTGGGTTTGGTTACGCTTCAGTTACATAAAATTAGCTGGTAGCCAGCCAGTCTCTATTACATTGCACAGTTGGATGTAGTAATCCCTTAGGAGATTCCTGCTCCTGCACCCCAGCACTGCTGATTTTCCAGGATAGTGTGGCAGCATTTGCGCTATCACAGAGCAGGCAGGGAGGGGGCCCTGGGTCTGGAATCATGGGCTGTAGAAGAATTTTAACTCTCTGCTAACATTGCATCAGAGCAGGAATGTAATGCTAGTAATAAGAGACATCAGATATGGAACATGACATCACTGGAGTAAAATGGCATCACTTTGGCAACATAATGCCAAGGCCGAGCTTGTCAGCGTAATTATCATGCATTGTGGATCATAATGAAGGAACGGGAGATGAAATAAATATTTGTGTGTGTAACAACGTCGTGCGTTAAGTAGAAACCATGGCTTGTCTAAGTTAATTGATTGTAGCTACAAGCCCGGCATCTCTAAAATGAATGTAATTTCCCCGGCTGCCTGTAAAAATTAATCAATATATCCCTGGAGATTACTTCCTGGGTAAATTGCTTCAAAGAAATTAGACCAACCATTGTGTACAAATGGAGCCGCTTTCATCCTCTGCAATTTTTCTGCGATTTATTTTTTTTTTTCCACCTTTTATTTACATTTTTAATTCCATTTAATGTAATTGTAATTGGAACCTTTGAGTACATATTTGGCCCTGCTTATTTTATTTAGATGCTAATTTAATTAGGGCTCTGTAAACATGGAGAAGAACTTGGTGACGATCATGATGCATGAGCAGCCTGTGCGTGTTCAGCTTTTTCGTCCCCTTGGAATGTTTATGATGAAACCGAATCATGTTTGGTATCAATGGTTGTTGTCACCTATGCATATAAAATAGGTTGAAGCTGTCATGATCTCGCATTAAGCAGTTACTGACACACAACACTGTATTAGCTGCTCATTATATAAAGTCAGGAAGAGCATTCACGTTCACATTTATATGAGTTTTGTGTGTTCCGTTGCTGCCAGATTCTGCAGTCTTTTCAGAGTGTAAGTCTGCCACATATTTCTATATTTTTCAGGGTGCACTAAAATACAGCATGGTGCAGCATTGTTTAAGAGAGCCTGCCAGTGCCTTGCCATTTGGTGTGAAGAAATCTGTAATAGTTTAAGTGAATAGGAAAGCCGAATGTATAAGCTAAACGCCAGAATGAAACACAGAGCCACTCAATGGATAGGCTGTACCCTAGGTGACTTTGATGCAAATGGGAATGTTTGATTGAAGAGTACCTTTTTAAAGGCTCTGCATGAACTTGATTTATTTGGCATGGAAGCTAGTGGGCTTCCTATATCTCACAGGGGCTCCCATGATGATGTCTCTGCACCTGAGCGTCCATTTCTACTCCTCTGCCCTTGTGTCTTTAAGAGTGTTCAGTCCTGCCCACCTGCCCATGTTTTCCTCAGTGCCCTGTTCTGTCCACTTGCTTTTGTGCTTGCCCAGTTTTGTCCACCTACCTATGTGACTTCCTGAGCTCCCAGTTCTGCCCACCTTCTCCTGTGTCTTCTAGAATGCCCAATTTTGTCCATCTTCCCCCATGTCTTCCCAAGCACCCAGTTCTACCCACCTGCCACTGTGTTTTTCTGAGTGCCCACTTCTACCCACCTTTCCTCGTGTCTTCTCGAGAACTCAGTTCTGCCTACCTTTCCCCATTTCTTCCCAAGTGCAGAGTTCTGCCTACCTCCCCCTGTCTTTCTGAGCTCCTCAGTTCTGCCCACCTTCCCCCGTGTCTTCGAGTACCCAGTTCTGCCCACCTTCTCTCGTGTTTTCCTGAGTGCCCAGTTCTGCCCACCTTACCCCCTGTCTTCCCAAGTGTACAGTTTTGCATGCCTTCCCCATTGGGTCTTCCCAAGACCTCAGTTCTGCCCACCTTGCCATGTGTCTTCCTGGGTGCCCAGTTCTGCCCACAATCCCTTGTGGCTTCCTGAATGCCCAGTTCTGCCTACCTTCCCCATGTCTTTCCGAGTGCCCAGTTCTGCCAAACGGTTCCTTTGTCTTCCTGTGTTCAGTTCTGGCCACCTGCCCCTGTGTCTTCTTGTCTGATTGCTTCTTTTAATATGACCTCAGGAATTTTTTTTGAAAGTGATTTAAATATTCTCAGACCTAGTTCCATTTTCTTTTACTGATTTGACCAGTTTGAAATGTGTGGATACATTTACTTGTAACCTCATATACAGATTCTCTAAAATACATATACTGTATGTATAGTCCCTTCAGGAGACGAAGCCAGAGTTGATGGCAAAGTCATATATTTGAGTGGTAGATGATGGTGGACATATGATGGGGAATGAGGACCGATGGTAGAGGATGGTGGGAGATGATGGGAGCTATTGCTGCAGGGATGGTGAGGGAATGGGAAATGATGGTGCAGCCAGGAATCGTAAGGGATGGGAACTGTTGGTGGCAGGCTGGTGGGGGATGGTATCTGGACTAAGCAAAAACAGGGGCATGTAAACTTCTTTGCCTCCTCCTCCTCCATATATTCTTCTTCAAAAATGCAGTTGTCCTATAAACTGTTTTGTGATCAGACATATGATAAATCATTTGCTAGTGTTATCAGTCCCCTTTTTGATGCAAGGCATGCTCTCTGTGGTTCTGAGATTATAGATCATTTGACATTTAGTGTAACAACACTTCCTATGTCTTTCGATGAACAATGCAGGGGGGAGAAAATGTCATAACTCACAATTCAGGACAAATGGGTGTACATTACAATTCAGTGTTTATTTCTACTATAGTATTAAAAACATAATTTGGCATTTTGCAGTATAGGTCCACTTTCAAAGCATCTAAAAAATATTTTTTCCAGTATGTGAAATGGGCCTTTGTGAGAACACTTTGTTAGGATTTTGCCCTTCTGAAGGAATTTTTTTTAAATCCTGATCCAACGCCATTCCGGAAGGACCTCTTTATAAAAGACTTCTCCAGTAGTGGCTTCAGTAAAGCGACCTCCTCGCTCTGGTCAGCTTCAACTAAGCAACTGTTGAGCAGGATGAGACAGTGGTCCGATTTCCCGGAGGACTGGAGGAAGAGATAAGCAATGTACCAAATTGAGTTACCATACTCTATATATTATTCACAAACTGGCAACAGATCCAAAAATTTACCCCAGGCCAAGCTTGGTTGGGTGGAGCATGCACTCACTGAATCACAGTCATCTAACATCAGTTCACAGTGACCTCTCACTCACTGCGGAGTTGTAAAGTATGGGGATTGTTCAACCAACATGGACCAAAAGAAGGAGCACCAGAGTAGAGGGTAAAAGAGTCTAAATTCCTTTATTGGTTCACAACTAGAAGGCTGTCTTTTATTTGTGGACCATTAAAAGAAATTGAACTCTTTTACGATTCGGTCAGGCGCTCTTTCTTTTGGTGCATGCTTTCAATGTCTTTCTGGGTGCACATTGGAGAGTAGGTCTGTTTCTTTGGTGTGAGCTGCCTAACCAGAGCCAGGGAGCTTTTTGAATGATTGCTTTCCTTTCACCACCCCATATAAACAAGGGCTGAAGTGCCAGCACCTCTTGGATCACTTTTGGAATTTACCACTCAGAAGTCAGAGTTACTGACCTTGCACAAGTAACTCATCATAACCAACCACAAATCAATCATTCACAGAACTGACTACAGTAGACTGCACTGTCTTACTAATGGATCCACTCATTCAACACGATATTCCACCTGTATATTGCTCTCAGGACTCCTGTGATGAAATTTCTGCATCATGTGCTCCACACTCCTGCTGCAGACATTACTATTCATTTCTACTTCTTTTGTTAGATTACAGGGCATTGGACCAAGAGGAAAGATACTTCCTAACTTGGCTTCTTTAATAGATAAAACAGGAGAGAGGAACTAAAAATCTGGCGAGGAGATCTTGGTGATAGTCACCAGAAGATACAAGTAGCCAGTGTTGTCAGTCTACTCTGATGGAGTCTTCATTATGGAGAATAATGGTATCATTGAAGTTTCCAACTACAAAAGAAAATCTCTTTTTTTTCCATGATGTCTTTAGCGTAAAAGGAATTAAACACACGCACGCACGTTGAACTGATGGACTATTATCTTTTTTCAACCTCAAATACTATGAATCCTTACCATTGGAAACCAACAGGTGATTCAACTAAATGGAACCCATCCAAAACTTAAAATATAATTTTAGAGTGGAGTTTGACAAGTTAGTTGGATGCAAGCCCATCTGTGTGATCCTTACTCTCGGTCATCTATCTCTATCAGCAGCACTATCTCTTGATACACTCACTCCGACCATAATTTCCAAGTAAGAAAAGGTTGACTGTATTAATCATGAAACATGCACTGTGCAATAAAAGTCACTGTGCTAAAATATCACATACAAATGACTATATTACTAAGCCAAGCTTAATTAATTGCATGCGGAATAATGAGATGAAGTGTGCCGTCTATCACCCCATGCTAGGAAGGTCTGTATCATAGGACAAGCTCTGGCTGATTCACTGAAACTTCAAAAGCGAGTGGCTTACTTAGAATGTCGTGATTAATAGCTGAAGAAGCAGAAATGATTGTTAACCTTCTTTTAACAGGAAAACTTTTTAAATGATGTACTATATGTAATAGGTGAACCTGGTGGAGGGAAGATTTTCACAGAGACCTAAAAAAGGGTCCACTACAGTTAGTCCTTAAAGACTCAGTCTTCATAGAGGTAGCAGCGCTGAATCAACCTTTTGAGTTAAGACCGCCCTGAACAGGATACCAGTCTGTTATTGGGAAAGAACTCATTGTCCTTAACCAGGATAGCAGACCATTTACAAGTGTAACAGCTGGGATTTCCAGGTTGCTCCACATTAAAGGCCATATAGCTATAGCAGACCATGAGGTTGCTATGGGGCCCAGAGCTGTCTGAATGAATTGATAAATAGTTTGATAAACAAAAAAATAAAATGCCATAGAACAAGAAAACTACTATCAATTAGTATCCTAAATCACCAAAGAAAAAGCCTGAGCTGGAGATTAGAGAGACAGAGTAGCAGTGGTGCTGAGCAACTTGTGTAGTGCTAGATGGGTGACTTTTCATTGCAGAACCAGTGGACTTTATATGTCTGCAACTCTTTTGTGATTTGTTTTAATTCAGGTGGTCAATTTCTTCAGCAGAGGGGAATAAAGTTCCCTGTACTTCCCTGTACTTAAAACCAGAGACTATGCATGAATAATCGCTTGTACAATCTGCAATGTGACTCACTTGGAGCACTGAGCTATTATCTGTGGCCATCACTAAGATCACGCATATGGAAATCGCCCCATGAAGCTCTTGCTGTTACAAAAAAATGTGCAGGCGATTGAACACTGCCTCCTTAAAATGAACCGTAACCTGAGGTTGATTTACTAAAGGCAAGTAGGCTGGTCACTTTGCAAGGGGAATTTCCCTTAACTTAGTGAATGAGGTGTAGCTTTGATGACTTCCATCATCCAATCGTGCAAACAAAATGATTGGGCATTAATCTACACCATGTTCACTAAGCTACGGGAAAATTCCATTCTCTTGCTCGCTCTCTCTCTCTCCATCTCGCTTGCTTGCTCTCTCTCTCGCTCTCTGTCTCCTTAATCCACATACAGGTACATTTTCTTACCATGATAAACCCACCAAGTTAGACATTGACCAACTCCTGGAGTATCAGACAAGCTCTTCTAGACACACTAATCATTAAATTGATAAAGAGGTCCTGTCACCTAGGTATATGTCTTTCCCATAATACTAAAATAATAACATTAACATGCAAGTATCCAATGCTGTGAAATACATTGGTATTATGATTTATCAGTGAGCAGTTTGATGACTAAAATTCGAAGAAACTCTCAGGTAAAATTAACAGTGTGACTCCTGCCAAAGGATTTTTTGTTGTTTTATTTATATGTTTTAGACAGATTGGGGAAGGGTTAAATAATCACACTTATGTCGGTGTTCTGCCCCTGTTGGAGGGATTTCCCCTCACTTCCTCTACTGGTGACTACATAGTCACAGACACACGAAGTGAGGAGTGTCTCCTCAATGGGGACATAAGATAATAAAAAACAGAAGGACAAATAAGGGGGGATGGAGGGCCTGAGTAATAAGGAATGCCAACAAAAATTACATTTGTTCCTCCTTATTATTATACAGGATTTATATGGCTCCAACAGTTTGAGCAGCACTTTACAATATAAGGAAGACATTACAATTACAATGTAATTCAAGACAAGATGGTAAAGAGGGCCCTGCCCCTGAGGGCTTACAATCTAAAAGGGAGGGGCAAGTGATACATGAGGAGGTAGCTAGCTGTGTGGGGATAAATTGTTTGAGAACGTGATGGTTGAGTGGTTAGGTTGAGGTGGGAGAGGCTTCCCTGAAGAGATGAGTCTTAAGGAGTCGCCTAAAGGCAGTCAGAGTAGGAGATAGATGGACAGGTTGGGGTAAAGAGTTCCAAAGGATGGGAGAGGCTCTAGTGAAGTTCTGGAGGTGAGCATGGGAGGAGTTGATGAGGGATGGTTAGGGTGATACTTTGAGACAAGTTTTGAAATATAGCCGGGGGCAGAGTTGTGGATGGCTTTGTAAGTGGTTGTTAATATTTTGAATTGAATCCTTTGGGCGAGTGGAAGCCAGTGCCGGGATTGGCAGAGGGGGTGGGGGGTGGAAGCCAGTGCAGGGATTGGCAGAGGGGGGTTGCAGACACTGAGCGGTACGTTAGGTGAATGAGTCTAGCAACAGCATTTGTGATAGACTGAAGGGGGGATAGCCTATGTAGTGGAAGGTCAATGAGGAGGGAGTTGCAATAGTCAAGGCGAGAGATAAGGGAGTGGATGAGTAATTTTGCGGTTTCATTGGTGAGGAAGGGGCGTATTTTGGACATTACGAAGGTGAAGGTGGCAGGATTTGGATAGTGATTGGATGTGAGGCAGAAAGGTGATGTCCGAGTCAAGGATGACACCTATTACCTTGGCATGGGGGGGAGGGATGGATAGTAGAGAAGAGACACTTAATAAGAGGTGACATGGGTGACATGATCGCAATTTACAAACTCATCAATGGGGAATGCAGTATCGGGAATGCACTACATAAACAAAGAACTTTGAGGTAGATGCGAGGGGACAACAAGAAGGTTTTTTGGTTTTTTTTATTCTAAAAAAAATAAAAATAACTGAAGATTTAATAAAATGTTTGACCTGTTTTAAATTTGACTGGAAATGACATATAATAAGAATTGCAATAAATAGGATGTCAAAAAAGAATAATAAGATAGGCATGCAGAGAAGGATGAAATAAAAAAAAAATTGTTTGGATAGTATGAAATGTCTAGATTACTACTGACAGTAGTCCCTCAATTAGGGGGTGTAATAACGATTATGTATCTTATTTAAATATCTATAGCTATGTTGATATATAAATGGATATGACTCCGAAATCCATAGCTTTTTCAGAGTCGATCGAAATTCCACTTCCCAATCCATCCAAATGCCGCCCAATTTTAGGAGACACACCCCATCGCTGTCCAGCATCAACAAACGATTTATGGGAAATAAATTAAATTTTCTGCATTATTCACCACAAAACAACCATTAGCCTATAGCTGGCCTTACACGTTTATAAATGTTCATTTCTGGAACAATTATTCTGTTTTTTTATGGTAAGTGGGATCCAGTCAGCGTTCATTTTCCACTGAAGTGATGAGGTAAATTTACAGAAGCAGGATGTATTATGTTGTCATTCTGATCTGATGGCTTCAATATTTTGAGTCAATGACCTCAAACAGGTAATGCAGATCAGGAGTTCCGAATTGCCTCTAACCTCACTAGCTGCATTCATTTTGCAGGTCTGCAACTGAAGGTATTGAAGCCAGTGAGGGCTGGGGAATTAGTATTTTCAGAGCTAGAAACCAGCAAGGGAAGCCTCTATATTCCTTCAGTGCACACATCCTTTAACAAGGAAATTTCCAAACCTTCTGCTGTACATTTTCATACATACAAGCCACCCTTTATCTATTGTGTTCTTTTAGTAGCACGTGCAACAATTTTTGATACAACTTACTGTAATAAGAGCACATTCTAACAGGTTTACGTGTTTGACACTTACCATCAGGGTCAGTCCAGGCTGATACCATAGATGTATTGTAGATATCCAGAAGATGAGCACAAAATGTAATTTGGATACACTGTGACAGAAAGAACATACAAAGAAATTGATACACACACCACAATGGGTGTTAAAAGCCATACATCACATTAAGATTGTATTTATTTTTATCTTTCGAATCCCTTACCCGCTTAGCTGTCTTCCTTCCATAGTGACAACAGACATCTGAATCATCTAGGCATCTTCACACTTGTGGGGCGTTTTATACTCTCCGCCAGGGTCACTATAGCTCACTGTAGCACATCTCATTGATGACGAAATGGCCTTTCATGAATGTTAAAAGGCGGAAATGTGACCAAATTCAAGCAAACTTGAGTTGACTTATAGAAACTTGTGCCCTTTCAGAAACGAACACCTGTCAAGCTGCCACTTCTTCAAAGTTAGTTCAACAAAGACCCAAGTACTGGAGGTGAACTGATATTTTCCTGCTAAAGCTGACATGGCAAAGTACAACTCAACATGTCACGTCTGTAAATGTTAACTAGTATCACGACCACTTTCCATACGTACCTCTGGCGACCCTGTCATGGACTTTCCATTATATTTTGCAGTTCTGGACTTGCTGGTTGAAAAAAGTCCAATAAAAATGGTTCCTGCTCAGGAAAAAAATTGTAGGAGATTAATTTATTAAACACTAATGTAGTCGTTGTGTTATTTTTTTCAATGAACCTCTTAATGTATAGCTGTTTATTTTAAAGTAAGCACCAAAATGTGCCTGCCTGTGTTTTTTAAACCATCTATAAGTTTTCAGTGAAGCCACAGTCCTTGGCATAGTGTAGGCCTCAACGTGTCCAAAGTAGACCTATGCCCCATCATTCAGCAATCCATTACTTATCTACGTACACTTTAGTATAGGACTTTTAAATAGTTATAGCACCAGTGGAGCATGGCTTAGGTCTAGGCCTAAACTTGTTCGACAGTGCCCCAAGCTCTACAATTTAACAGTTCAATACTAAAGCCTCTACTGACCACTGAGACTTTGGTGTTGGACTAATTAATGGGGATGAAGTTTAGTACTACTGGGGAGGGGCTTAGGTCTAGGCCTCAGTTTGTCCGAGATTGCCCCAAGCCCTAGCATTTAACAATTCAATACCAAAGCCTCTACTGACCACTGAAACCCTGGCATTGGACCAACTAATGGGGGTAGAGATTAGTACCACTGGGGAGAGGCTTAAGTCTAGGCCTAAATGTGTCTGACATTGCCCCAAGCCCTACCATTTAACAGTCCAATACCAAAAGATATGTATGCAAAACTACCCTGCGCTGGTAAATTGTTCAGTGATAAATGTTAACAAAACCTTAATACAAATATAATTCGTTATGCATCAATTGGACTGACATATTTCATTTTTCGTTTATTTTATTTTTATACATGTTGGATATTTATTATATTTGTATTATTTATCAATTGAACAATTTACCAGGGTATTTTTGCATACATATCTTTTGACACTGTGTTAGCACTGCAGCAGTAACACAACCATCTTAGATTAAGTTATACCACCACAGCGCAGATTATTTATTGATACATAGTCCAATACCAAAGCCTCTACTGACCACTGAGACTCTGGCGTTGGACGGGGTAGAGTTTTTAGTACCACTGGGGAGGGGCTTAGGTCTAGGCCTCAATTTGTCTGCCAGTGGCTTAAGGTTGTCATCCTGATACATGAAGTGGTGTTACCTGCAGGATTTCCAGATAAGAAACTTTGCAACAGATTCATAAACATTATTCGGAAACTGTAAACAGGAAGGCAAGACACCAAAGCACATTGAAAAAAAGATTTTGGGTTTACATACACTTTAAATGTGTAGAAAAGAAGAGTATTTAGGAAGAAGAATTGGTATTTAAAGGGATATTTGAATGATGAGTGAGTGCTGAATGGTGTGTGGAAGGGAGTTCTAGATAAGGGGAGAGTCACGTTGAAAATCTTGAATGTCATGAGCGGAGCGCCGCTGAATACATTTGTTAGAATTCCAATCCAAAAGGAGGTTCTGCACCAGATCAAATAAAGATCCATTTGGATATAGTTTCCTTTAAGTCCGTTCAAGTCCCTATTCCATTTTTCTAAGCCCTACTGAAGGGGGTGTCTTTTTGCCCCTGAAACGCGTTGGTCTGTGTGTTTGAGAGCCACCTTACAAGGGCTAGTAAACTCATTTGAAGATTTCTTTGCATTTGAACCATTGAAATCCCAGCGCCTCCTACATGTGCAAAGTGGAGGCTGTTGTTTGGGGCAATAACTGAAAATTAGAAGGACCGAGGAAGTGCTAGAGAGAGATTTTGACTTCATAATCCTAACTGTCCTGCAGGGAGGATGAAGGCGCTGAGTCGTCATGCACAAACACCCCTGCATTATTACCCATAATTGATTGCTGTTGTAAACATGGAGTTGGCACTGCTTTACTATGGGGCAGGTCAAATTGTGAAATAAAAAAACCTGGCATAAATATATCATTTTTATTGTATTGTTTAATGACAGCATACATATTTCTGATTCAAGAATTAGACAAGTGTCATCTTCAGCCTGCATACCTCTGTAGGTGGATAATAAGAATTCCTGTCTTGGATTCTACTTCCCACACCGTGATAAAGTGACAGCGTCTAAGCTTTGATGCATCTCGCTGCCATTCCACCAGGTGCGGCATAGTCTGCTAAAGGAACACTAAGCTCTAACAAATCCCACGTGAAATTTAGTGATAATATCACATTGCTTGTCATTTTTCAGATCACTAAATAGTGTGACATCTCTAGAGAGGTCTCAGCCTGTTCTCCTCAGTACTCGCGTGTCACCAGAATTTGATGGGGCCTGTCTTCTGTCATTGACTTTTACTGGAGTAAAAAGTCGTTTTATGTGTAAGAGTGAGTGTAAAGTTCATTGCGTGAATAAGTATATGTCTCTTATAAGCTATTTTACTAATGGGGAAGTAGAAGGAGACAGGATAGGTAGGGTGACTTAAAAGGGATTTTCTCCTTAACTTGTATGGTATCCAGTCTCATCTTGACAGCTAAATGTAAAAGAGTCCACATGCTGCAGAAGTCACCATCAATCCTCAAATCTTATAAAGGGGCTTTTCCTCTAATATTTACATTCTTCCAGCATATGAGCTGGCAGGTAGCTCACACAAAGGAGCATCTTAGCTTCTGGCCAGCAAAAGACTTCACTGATATCGATTAGTAACCAGCAGACAAGTTTACTTGACCAGATTGAGCCCGTTCACAGCAACCACCAATCTGGCAAGCAAATTAAAGGAGAACTATGGGGTAAGTGTTTTTCCCCATAGTTCTCTTTAGGGTCACGGGAGGACATATATACTAACCTCCTCCCATGACCCAAAGCTCAGTATGTTGCGGGCAATACTGACAGCGCCGCAGCCAGGACGGATCCCGACAATACTGTCGAGATCCAAGCAGCTGTGTGAGTTACAGCTGGCTCTGCCTATCTAGAGGCAGAACCAGCTGTGCCTGCCCCCTCTACCCATTCGTTCCTCCACTAGGCGCTGGAGGATCGGAGAGGGGAGGGGGAGAGCCATGCCTGTGGAGAGCAGTGACTGACAGTCACCGCTCACTGCAGGGAGATGATCGGGAGGTGAGCTAATCGCTGCCTGTTTCTGCTTACTTCCCGATCAATAGAGCTGACCTGTGACAGCTTCTTTGTCACAGGTCAGCTCTAACTATGAGGATGAGTGAAAAACACTCACCTCATAGTTCTCCTTTAATCTAAGTTAATAGGGGTCTTCAGATTCCTGGACAGTCTGAGAACATATCTCAGAGAGCCCAAGCTTTGAGAGACCTCTGGTTAGTGTTTGAACAGAATATAATGTGGTTCCTGCTCTTGCTGATTGGCAAAGGGCTTGGGCGTTTTACAACCCTTGTAGTACCTATTAAGAGTAATAATATTTCCATATCAGAGCAACGTCATTACAGGAGTAAGGTGTTAACTTCCTCTCAACTCCCAATGTTCTCGTATGTGTCATTAGAACCAGGACACAATTGAATCCAGATCATTTACTGACCAGAGGTCAAAGAATGAGGTGCAAGGAGCCAGCTCCAGAGCATTAATAAGCTAGCAAAGAGACCCCAATACTACATGCTGGGCAGATTGCAATCATTGTCACCCATTCCAGATTGACAGTGGATCAGATTTGCCAACATTTACTCATCATTCAAAAACAATAAATCAGAGTGATGTTGTGGTGACTAGCTTACACCATGAGACAAAGTGGACAGCTGAGGCAATAGCAAGCACATTTCGGACAATGGCTGAGCCATTCAAATCATTACTGTCCCCACAAAATGGCCAAAAAGCCTGAAACAGCTGTATAGTTTGGAATAAATAGTTCTATAATATCCAGCTATATTTGCACTATACACATCTTGTATGTGCATTTGGCTGTTGTGGCATAAAAGAATGCCAACTCAATCAACAAGGTATACTCCCCTGTCTGTACTCTCACACTGCCTCCCCACTTCAGGAGTCCATTCTATGTAAGGTCCATTGTCAGATGGTGTTGGAGTTGACCTGGGTGGACAATGTCACTGCCCCTACCTACATGACTGTCCTTGGGTCTACAGTTGGCTGCTTGGGCCCGAACATTGCCACTTAAAAAAATGACTCCACATATTCCTATTCGCTATAATTGTAGTTGCTATTATTAGTCCTTTCTTGTAAGTTTGATAACACAACAGGAAGTGAGGGGAACTCCATATGTAGGTTGTTGAGAGCTGAAGAGGTGACTACCATTGGAGGATTTCCCTTTACCTCCTGTTCCTGTGAGAACTCAAATTTTGGATTTCAAATCACATTCAGTGATATAGGCAGCAATACATGTTGGTATTTTAACACTTTCTCAGACTATCTAAAAAATTAAATTGTCTGTACATACGCTGTAAAAAAATGGTTCTGATGTTCCCAGCCCAGCACACCAGACATACAGGAGGTATGGTGGTAGCAACTGTGTGGTCTACTGCCATGATAATACCAACATACATGTTTAGCATTAGGTTCCAATCAGTGGCTTAACTATAGTCATAGCAGCCCAGACAGCTGCTATGGGGCTTGGGAGTAGAAGGGGGCCACATTGGGTTGTTGAAGCAAATTAAACATAGAAGGTGTAAAGATAACACAGTGCTGTGTCATTAAGGGTTGGAGTGATTGCA